TTAAGACATCTAGGGTGTATCTGCGTATCGAGTCACTGTTTGGATTGTAGTTAGAGAAGAATTTGCATGTGGGCTTGACCCATTCTTATTTTTACAGGTGTTCGTTAGTTCCAGACTTAGAGCTGGATCATGCTGAGCAGATACAGTTATTCACTCCACCGATGACCAGGGTTTTATTTCATATTTTAGACTTGGGATTCGTTTCCAATCTTTTGAGTTCAGTGAGATATTTTAGGGGTCCACTAGATGGATTCCCGAGTTGTAATAGAAATGGAGAAGTAGATGTATCAGAATCATTCTTTGTTAATTAAATTTTATTCTGAGGTTTTTGGATTATGATTCTAGTTTCTTTTCAGCAATTTATTTATTCTTGTTTTTCTTATTTGTATTCTGTGTTCGATTATTGCTAATTGATTTGATATCCTCGGGTTATCGAGCGTGGGCCTGGCCAACCCACATCCGGGAATCCAGGGGTATCACATAAAGCAAATAAAAATGGCCAATGGACTTAGCTTTTAACATTTAATTGCTTTAAGTATTGCGCGAGGGACAATCAAAGGCTTGTAAACACTTGCAGAGACTTGTACGCGTCTGGGTTGGTCAAAAACAGCACATGGGATAGCCAAACAGCGCTTGGAACGCGCCCGTAGGGACCTGCACGCACTGGCACGCTCCTGGGGTTGCAGCGGTGCGTTCCCACGCGCCTACACGCGCTAGGAGAGCGTGGAGCATGTCCCCCACGCGCCTGCACGTGCTGGGGTGATTAATAGGCGCGTGGCAAGCGCTGCCATGCGCTGGTCAAAAGGTTAACTCATACTGGCGCGTGGTCCTTACGCACCAGCTGCATACAAAATGCCAGCTCCCTCTGCGCGTGAGAATCATGCGCGTGTTTATTAGATGCGCATTGAGTGCACTGTGGGCTGTGCTACATGGAATAAATCCCTTCGCTGATTGTAGTTCTGTGGCAGAGATTCCAGTTGCACCATTTAATTGTGTTCCGCAAAGCATGTGATCATCTGACATTCCTTCCAACGCCGCCCCCCCCTTCGGCGACCCTCCGGTGGCCGAAAAATCGCCAAAAATTCCAGAAAAATAATTTAAAAAATTCCAAAAAAATTAAATTTAGGCCCTAAAAAATTCTAGAAAAAATTCCAGAAAATTTCTAAAAAATCCCAGAAAATTCCTGAGGCCTAATTTAACCCTCTTGGACTTTCTTGAAGCTTCATAGCATCCTTTGATGAAGATTACATGGCTTTAAAAATATTTACAATTTGAAATACAATGAAAAAAATTAAATTACATCATTGAACTTTCAAACGGCTAAATCAAAGCCTTAATTATATTCATCCAAAAATAAAATTACATTCAATGAACCTATAAGCTTCATCCATGGCCCACACATACATCAACATTCATCCAATCACAAATATACATACATCATGATCATATAAAAATATATACATATGCATATATAATATTTGGATCCATGAATGATGATTTTCATAAAATCATGATCTCTAGTAATGAATCGAACCATGCTCTGATACCACTGTTGGGAAACGTGCAATATTTAAAAACTTTTTGAGCGATTTTGATTCATAGATCTCGATTCATCACATAGAAACAAGTTTTATGCAAAAATAAAATATGATGTATCATTCAATTAATAGATTGAATACTTACATCAAAGGTCTGAGTAAACCTTTAAATCTTTCCTCTAAAGTGAATGTTCTCACTTATTGTAGATCTCTTAGCAAGATGCCTTCTTCTTGGATCTTCATCTTCTTGGTAATTGTTTTGCCTTTAGGAATCACTCATAAGCCTCCATGAATAACCTTGGAAAACTAGGCTTGTGGGAGCCTCCATTAGATGAGAACATAAACCCTAATTTTCTAGAAAGAAAAAATAAATTCATTTTTCTTTCTTCTAAAAATCACCCCTAAAATATACATAGATCATGTATATTTATAGACAACATAAAGGTAAAGAAAAGGAAATAACTAATCTTTCTCAATCTCTAATTCACATGTCTCAAATCTAATATGATTCCAATATCAAGTTGGGTTATGAGTGAGAATTCATTGGGCTTATTATTTTATTGGCTACAATGAATTAATAATTGGCCCGGTCCATGGACCCAATTCAATCAATTCATAAATTAATTTCTACTCCACTAAAAGAAATTAATTGAACTCCAATTAAATGATAAATTACCTCTAAGTCGATATTGCACTTTGACCCCTCTATGCATAATTAGTTATCGAATAAATAAAGTCATCAATCCAACTACTTAATTAATATATTTATTTTGGTACCATTGATTATTTCTAACTCGATCACAATAAAACATTTATTTGACAAAAATAATAATTTAAATAAATAAGTATATAATAAATCATTTTGTCTAAAAACACACGAAGGCCTTCGAATTTACTTTGTGATCAACCATAATCAATACAAAATAAATACAAGTAGTAATAATACAAATATTGAAAATATAACCCTCTAACTATTAATTACATAACTACCCAAAGTGTCAATCTACGGATCCCGAAGAATTCGCCAAACAAATCAAAGTAATTATTAATTAATAAAAGAGTCTATAATTTTCTTATACTTAAGAGTCAAATGCCATGACGGTGATAGGGAACAATTGCATACGACGGCTCTCGCAATATATCTCAACCTAACGCGGATCCAGTTTAAATCTTAATTAATTATAAGTCCATCCATAATTACCGACTATGAACCATTTATGATTACCATTTATATTCATGTATTGATCGCCATCACGTACATATATAAATATCTCTCGTAATCAAATGGACACTATCAATTCCAAAATAAATTGAAACATAATATATTGAATCCACTAATTATATAAATCATAAATATTTCAGATATATCAGGAACATATGTCACTTTAATCCAAATAGGAATTTGCTATGTCAGGGCATATAAATCCCAACAATTCGTGCTAAGTGCTCATCATGCTTGAAACCCCAAGCTCCCGGACTTTTCAAGTAATTGCCCTATGCAATTTTGCTAATTAGGGCTTCATCATCGATCAAAGTCATGCGAGTACATCCACCGTGTGAAGAAGTCGGATTAATAAGTCTATCTTTAATGACACTTTGGATCTTATTTATGCTTTTCTTTTTCCTCTTATTGTGAAAACAGAGGTTACAGAGGGTGGTCGCACTCCTGCATGTGTCTGCTTTTGTCAGTTGCCGCTATATGGTTTCTGATGCCGATCAAATACTTGTAATGCAAACAATAGTAAGCATTATTTGTGTTTGTGTGCGCTATGACTTTAACTACTGGTACTGTTGTCAAAACTTTCTCTTTTGAATTCTGTAATTCCCTTTCAAGGGTTGTTTGTGCAATGGATTGTGGTGTTGAACCAAACTATACTCTTATATTACAAGTAACCAAGTCTTGATATCTCTTCTCCTGCTTGCTCCTCATTGTTGAAATGTAAACATACTTTGGCACACATTTATCCATTTAAAAAACTCACACAACTGATTTTTGAGCTACAGGTGTCAGGTGATACCTCTAAACTCCATCATATTATATATATATATATATATATATGATTAGGGTGTTGTGGATGGTTAGAAGAATGCTTAAGATTTCTTAAATTTATATGCATAGCCAACACAAACTGCAACAGATCTTGTAAAGAATTCATCCTCTCCTAAATTTACTTTCACCACCTTTATACTTACAAACTCTTGAATTCATATTTTTTTTCTGTACATTCAATCTACATTTCACCACCTTTATTCCTTCTAAAATCTTGAATTGATCCAATGTATTTTTTTCAACACAATCAATCTGTATTTCAACGAACGGTAAACTTAGATTCACCATCCTTAAATTCACATTTCACCACTTTTATTCCTACAAAATATTATATTCACCCAAGTTAAAAAATAAAAATAAAAGTAAAAAATAGTCCTGTAATTATGACAAAAAATTTGAATTTCACCACCCTTAAACCTACCTTTACCACATTTACATCCACATTCCACCATCCTTATGCCTACAAATTAAGCTAGTATAATTAGCTTGGACTTTCACATAATCCAAATAAGCCCTGTATTTATGGTGATTACATTTTCACATTAAAGAGTGAAGATTATAACATATAAACAGAGTTTTTGGTGTGCCCAACTTATCCTCAAGGTTATAATATTTATAGCAGAGTATGTGATCCTCTTATTGTTTGGTTGCTAATGTTTTTCTATTCTCACTTAAAGTGATTTTTATTTTTTCGGAGCTTTTTTCTGTTCCTTCCTGTATTTCCAAAGCAACAAGTTATCCGCAAAGTTAATATTTATACCATAGCTAAAGGTTAAATAATACGGAGTAAGTAAAGTAAGCAATTATTTCTAGAGAAATAGAAATTTCTGGGTAGGATATTTAGCATATATATATATATATATAAAATAAAATGATACATTTAAATTAAGTTGGATCTTTTCATATTTTAAATTGGAATCGTAGTTTTACATTCCATTATTTTAAAACCGTAACTAAGTCAAACCATTACAAAAGAAAACCGACCAATTCATCTGGTGTAATTTGGTTCCCCCAATTTTTTTGTGCACCCTAGCCATACATCTGAAGATTATGTAATGATTTTTCAAAAGTCTTTATATTTGAGTGCAATGAATTTTTTTTAAAAAAAAATAAATTAGGTGAATTAAAATAGCGACAATTAAATAGTCCCACTCACTCAATTATCTTCTTCAAATGCGAATGTCTTCTTAACATACTGTTTGGATTGCTTTTGTTGTCCTTAAGGATCAAAATTTTACACTTCTTGATCTAACATTTTTGCACTTCTAACTTTTGATTTAACATTTTTGTCCACAAAAATTATATATATATATCTTCTTCAAATGAGATACCAAAATTATATACTACATTATTAAATTAAGTAAAAATTTAAATCATGCGTAGGACCGATCACATGTGCGTGTGTTGGAGACCGTAGGATGCAGTACTACAATGTTGCTTATCGCACCGGATCACCTCTATTATTCCCCCTCTTTTTTCTTTTCTTTTTTTGTCTTTTTGGAATTGCTATATAAAAGATTGTCGGCCCACTGTAGTCTAGAGACGTCACTCTGCAACCATGTCCGACAGAGGAGAACGCTTTGGCTTGCTCCAAAACGGAAATGAGAGAGAGAGAGAGAAAACCCTAACCCTAATGTGCAAATCCCCAGAGAAACCTCCCGTGCTAGGGTTTCTGGCGCCTTGGTAGCGTCGGCGGCCCTGGTATTTATCTACCTCTACTTTCAGAAACGGAAGCAGTATCACCATTCAACTTGGCTCCACTTCGTTGATCGTCTCTGGATTGCCGTTCCTTTTCTCGTCATTCACACGGTGGCGGCTCTGTATCTGTCCCTCCGACCGCCGGTTCAGCTCGGCGAACTCCGGAGAATGAATTTGCAGACGTTGAGTTTTCTGACACTGGTTTTAGGAGGTTTATTTGCCTTCGAGGTTGCTCGTTCAAGTTCGGCCGAGAATTCCAGTGATTTCATCAACTACACTGTCGAGTGTTCAGATGAAGTCGACCTCTCCTCATTGTCTACCATGACCTTTCCCAATTCTCAGTGCCAGATTACCCCAACCGCGGCCATAAAACCTCCGTCCAGCCTTCTTATTGCCCTAATCCACTCAACCACAGCCCTAGTCCTTTCCCTCCGCCTCATCCGTCGGATTATCCATGGAGAGAACTAGCCTCAGCCCCATGGTACATAACATTTCTTTAATAATGTTGTTTTTTAACTTTATTTAATAATTGCAAATTTGCAATTCCCTTTAATTTGATTTAATTATGTTATTAATCTGTATTATCTGGTGGTTCTTTTATGATACTCTAGTATTTCTTGACATATTGTTAATTTTTTATCTGGAAGGAAACCAAAAGGGAAAGGGTTCAATAGAATAAGAAAATCTTGCTACACAGAGAGACTTGTAATTTGCATAAATGTGTATAAACATTTGTTTGTTGGTGGGTTTTTTTTTTAATATTTTTTTTTTTCTTATGTTGGGATGATAAATAAATGAATTATTTTTTATATGCTTCAATTGTGATGAAATATTGCAAAGCCCCACAATAAGGGTACTTGTTGAGGACAGAAGTGCATTAAGGATATGGAATCAGAAAGGGGAGTATGAAAACCTGAGTCAATTATTTGAGCTCATTCTCTGATTTTTCTTTATCCTATGAACCACAGAGACACATTTGTATTTTTCTTTTTATATTTATTTATATACTGTGTATGATATACATATTATATATATACACTTATATTTACACCTTTAAATTAAAGTGCACACATGTGTGATATATTTACCTATCATTTGTTTCTGACGTATGAACCCTGCAACAATCTGTGTTTCTGAACCCAAATTAAAGCTTCATTATCATGTTCTTGTTATTAATTTTCCTTTAATAAATCAAGGATTCAGAGTATGCTGTGAATCATTATTCTTAACCTTTTTAGTGTTTTCTAAGCAATTTTAATATGAGTGATTTCAGAAAATTTGTACACTTAATTTTTTTGAAATTATTCCAATTATAAAGTTATTAAACTTGAAACGAGTTGTTTTAACCAACTAAAATGCCCATTAAGACTTTCAGAACATAGCTAAAACGGCATGAAATTCATCCTGGCTATATTTAGTTTTTAAGTAACGAATCTAAATTATCTAATGGTACATCTATGGCTCAGTGAGTGTTATGGTATCACCACCTTCTTCTTTTTTTTTTTTTTTTTATCATGCTTATGGTATCACCATTAAAGTTTAGTTCCTTATGTTAATCGTCTCAGTGCCCATAGACCTCCCAACACAAAAGAAATGAGCCAGATGTTAACCTTTAGTTGGAATGATATTTTGTCATCAGTTTTATCACATACTCCTTCAATTAAACATTCAATAAGGCATCATGTTCTGTCATATACTCCATCTATTAGATATTCGATTATCATGTTCAACATGTGTCTATAAACATTGGTACTTTTGATGTGCCAAGGTCATAGTCACATTGTTCTTTATTTCATTTTAGTTCTCTTTGTAATTTATTATTTTTAATTAGAGTATCAGAGTAAGTAGATTAGAACTTAATTCCTTTAAACTTCTGTTGGTTATCATTTTGTTATCCTTTTTATTTTCACCTCATTTTGTTCCAATCTCTTTTGATTTCATTCAATTACTTGTCATTTTATGTTCTCAGTTGATTCGACATAATTTACTCGAAATCAAGCATGTGTATCAATTAATACCACTCAAATGTAATGAATTCTGTTTCCCACTACTGATGTAAAATTTCAAGGATACTATATCAACTGTAGAAAATTTTAAGTCTATCATGCTGCCCCAATGAAGGCTTCCTTTTTAGAGAGGTGATGCAATGAAACGATTATTTTTTCTGTCATGAAGGTGCCATCCATGAAATTGTGTATATGATGTATATAAGAAGGGAATTCACTGAGCAGTCAGCAGGCAGTCCTGCCATGGGTTTTCGGGTATAGCAGCTGGGTTCTTCCTTTCAGTATGGCTAGGATTGAGGTTGGATTGGGCGAGAGCTATAGCTTCTTCCACCAACGGGCCAGTGGCCTAATGGTATCAACCTCTTACTTCCCAAAGGGAGGTCAAGGGTTCGAGTCTCAGAAGAGACGTGTGTGTGAGTACCAACAAGGAAAAAAAAAAAAAGATATAACTTCTTCCCATCCCGCATTATTTTGAATATGAATTATGTTACTCATTAGTATGCATACGCTTATCTGCTTTCTACCTTTAGTGTGCCTTTTGCTGGTGTACCAAAGCCAACGCATTTTCCTTTCGGCATCATAATCTTCCTCATCTTCTCCAATAGGGGGGCAAGTCTCCCGCCCAAAGCGAATGCATAGGCTCAAAGAATAGAAAACTACCCCTACCCACCATGACCCTCCTTAGCAACTATAATAGAGATGCATTGAAATAGGGATGAAAAGAACAGGTTATTTATTATCTCAAAGTTCACTGATTATGAGATTATGAGTCCGTAGATACTCCCCTTTGCGCCCTTTGCTCGGCCACCTACTTTTGATCCCATTCATAGGGCTAATTTGCTCGACCACCTTATGCTTTTGCGTCTACTGCGTCACATCTTCCTTCTACGCCTGCCTCCTTCAGCTGGTATCTAACATTCAGTGCACTAGCGGAGAGATCAGTCCCGCCTATAGATTAATTGGGAGCCTCGCGGGGGAGGAAGAAAGTTCTAAGGCTTTTAAGCAAGTGGGAAAGCACCTCACCCGCAACCATATAAGAGAAATCCATACAAGTAAGTAATTCAAATGTTCCCAGACGGCTTCCCTGCTTGATCAACATCATAGAGAAGGCAATAGCTAAAATATGGTATAGAAAGAAGAAGCAAGTGAGGAAGGGCAATGCTGGCCCAATCAAATTTTAAGCCATGACCACCTATTTCTTTTTACAAGCGTCAAAATTGTCTTCAAGCACCCTAGTTCCACGGGAATGGCAAGCTCAAATGCAGTGTAGAATCACAAGAAGAGGTACATTACTAGTTGAAAAAGAGCGAGTGAAGACAAAGAAAAGGTGGATTATGTTTCTAGCGGAAGGGTTTCCTTTGCCACTTGCAGATACTTTTGTTTGCGCCCTTTTTGCCCCTTTTCTACCGTTCGTGCCGCTCCCATTATCCCCAGAGTGCCGTACCTTTCTGTCTTAACATATGCTCCATGTTCCATCTATCTATTGCCCTTATCTTGATGACTAGTAAGTTTCTCAGCTAAAATCTTCTATTAAGGTGGGATCTAAACATATTGCATTAGCTGTAAATGAGGAACTTGACCTACATACTAGACTAATTGTATGTTTTTTTTTTTAGTGAATATATTTTTGCTGAGCCTGTGTTGTTGTTTATTGGTTTATTTATATGTATTTCTCTTTTCTTCCTTGACTTTCTCATCATAAAGTATTAATTACTGAAATGAACTGAATGATGTTTATGCTTCCTTGCTCTTCCACTTTGCAGGATAACCTGGAACATCATGTGGATGTTACAGATTCCTGGCTACAGGTGACACTTCTCCCAGTAGTATACTTCTTTTGGTTCAAATCCCTCTTTTTTTAACTAGTGTGTGCAATTACTTTTTGCTCTTGATTGTTAGAGATGTGTCTTATATATGAAGATTCTCAAGCATCATTAGTATCGTTCTATGCATGATGATGAAATTGGGATTTGGAAATTATTTGGTGCGTGAAAGAGTTCTGAAACTCTCGGGTAAATTGAAAAAATATCGGGAATAATCTGGAATAGTCAATAATGGATATCAGGGGGAAAGCAAAGAATAGTATTTGTAATTTAGAAATATTTGGAATAGTTTCAAACTTAAACATTTAATTCAGAGATTGTTTGTGCCATATGTATATTTTTAAATTTTTTTTGTTATGCTCCATTGGATTTTAGGCAAAATGAAGGCAAAGAAGAATATTTTAGACTATACTATAGGATTTCAGTTCTCTTTCTTTATTTCAGGAAGCAACAAAACACATTGATCTAAGTAAGAGTGCAATGAACAAATCTTGATCTTGGATAATTTGAAATTTAGATGCTAATTACGTATTTGCAATAGCCACTTTTACCACTGTATTTAGTATTATGATTGAAAATTTAACCTACATAATTTTTTAGATGATGCAAGGTTGTATCAGATAGAAGAATTTTTCATGCAATGTATAGGATCATGAACATCTTAGACGCAAATAAGGCAATTAGAATTGAAAATTGATCATCAGCCTAAATTTGAGCATGACACATCTCTCAAGACTGTATGATGGTGAAAAGTTCTTTTACACCATTACATTGTCAGGCACTAGTCCTGTCAATTCAGTGCTAAGATATTCGTGCTAAGTGCTCATCATGCTTGAAACCCCAAGCTCCCGGACTTTTCAAGTAATTGCCCTATGCAATTTTGCTAATTAGGGCTTCATCATGGATCAAAGTCATGCAAGTAAATCCACCGTGTGAAGAAGTCGTATTAGTAAGTCTCATTTGCTAGCCTATCTTTAATGACACTTTGGATCTTATTTATGCTTTTCTTTTTCCTCTTATTGTGAAAACAGAGGTTACAGAGGTGGTTGCTCCTGCATGTGTCTGCTTTTGTCAGTTGCCGCTATATGGTTTCTGGTTTCTGATGCTGATCAAATACTTGTAATGCAAACAATAGTAAGCATTATTTGTGTTTGTGTGTATATGACTTTTAACTACTGGTACTGTTGTTAAAACTTTCTATTTTGTATTATGTAATTCCTGCATGGATTGCGGTGTTGAACCAAACTACTCTTCTTATATTACAAGTAACCAAGTTCATTGACACATGGAAATATTGTGGATGGTTACAAGAATGCTTAAGATCTCATGATGATTATTTTTTTATTTTTTATTTTTTTTTAAAAATAAAAAATAAATCCCTTTGGTGTGCCATATAGCATTCATTGTGTCATGACTGTTGACAATGGTGCAGGAACATAGCCCTTTTTTTAAGCTATTATTTGGTTGCAATCATGGATTGATGAAGGAATGGAATGGTCAATTTGGTTGGACTATTTTAAAAGTCAGGGTAAAATGAGTTTTTAAAATTATTATTATTAGTTTTTAAATTATTACCGTTCATAAACACTAAATTAATGGTGACATGTAGCTGTGTTTTATAATTTTAATAAAATACTATCCAGTTACTTACCAATGAATTAAAAGGGCATGGGTTAATTGGATCTTGGATTAATTTGGATCCATTTCATGCAAATTTATATGTATAGCCAACACAAACTGCAACAGATCTTCCATAGAATATTTATTATTTCCAAATTCAAGTTTTATTATTAAAATGAAGTTTGATCTGATTTAATTATTACGAGTTTTATATTGTTTTAAATTTTGTAATTATAACTCGTATTACCATTACATTCTTGAACTGTAAAAAGAGCCCTCTGATATCCTTATGTTTGTTTATATATTTATTTATTTTATTATTATTTTTATCTGAGGTTGCTTTTGTTATACTCCTTCCATCTCAATATACGTTTCAAACCTACTTTTATGGTAGTGCCCAACACTTTTCTCAATTATCCTAGTCGGTCCTTTTCATTTTATTTTAATATTATTGTTTACTCAAATTATTTTGTTAAGTTATATTTCTTATTTTTCTAAGTATTGAATTGGGTATGCTTATTTCTTGTTACTCTCATTTATTTGTAATTACATAATACTCCCTCCGTTTTATAAAAGTATCCACCTTTTCTTTTTTATTGTTCCAATATAAGTATCCTGATTCAAAATTCAATAAACTATATCTTAATATTAAATAAGAATTTCAACGTGATCCAACTACGTTATATTCGAAAAAGGAATAGACAATTGAAGTCGGAAGGCCTATCATTTCTTCCTTAGCCCAATTTTAAAATATATAAAATATTAATTCGTACTTCCAAACTTAATCAGAAAATATTTATCTGTTTTTGTAAAAATTTGAAAGAGTTTGTAACAAAAATGAATTGATACTTACTTTTGTTTATAACCGTTTGACTTTTTTAAAATTCTCTTTTTATCTTCTGTCACACTGTCAACTTTTGTTAGCTTCTCATCTCTCTAATTGTTTAATTAAATTAAATTGTTTATTTAATACTTTCCCTAGATTAGGTTAGAGGAATCTTATTTATAAGTGAAGTCAAAGGATTAAAAATGTAAAGTCAAAGTGTTGAATGGTGTCAGCCTAGCCACATTTGAAATGGTGTTGGTGAAAGAGCAAAACGTGTGTAGGAAGTTGTCGTCGGGCTGTGTCACACCCAACTTTCTTGGATTTAAAAGAAACCATATACTAATATTATTTGGTGGCCTAATGTGACTTGGTCCTACAAGAATTTAAATATATTAAAATAATAAGGAAAGAAAAAAAAAAAAAAAAAAAATGAATACTGATGTGGCATGTGGAAGGAAGAAAATAGAGTTGAGAAAAGAGAAGGGATATTTTGGTAAAACAAGAAGAGAGGATGGTAGTTGGAGCTGGAGACTATTCCATTTCAGGTTCATCACAAGAAAAATTAAATAAATTTGAACTTCAATAATAACCTAGAATACTAGAAAAAAAAAAAAAAAAAAAAAAAAAAAATAAACCTAGAATATACTATTCCCTCTGTCTAAAACAAAGTGTGTTTTTTTTGGAGAATATAAATTTTAAGAGTGTAATTTTTTATGTTTTTTATTATAGTAATATAATATGAAATAAATTTCTTAATATGTCCTTATAAAATCTTATTTTGACTGAGACACTTATTTCAAAACCAGATAATAAGTTATTAATAGATAAATGATAGATCTTTCGATCTCAATTATCGATTCTTTTTTCGAAATTGTTAAAACTCTTAAAAAGACTCATTCCCAACCCGTTGTATTTAGAAGAGATTGAATTTCAATTGATTGGAGCGAGAGATATGATTATTATGTGAGAAAGAGAGATGATTATGGTTTGGTAATTAATGGATAATGATCTTGGATTTAAAGATGGTTTGGTAATTAATGGATAATGATCTTGGATTTAAAGATGAGTGATCAAATTTTGATAGGTTAATGTTTCCCTAATGAAATTTTTATGAAATATGAAAAAAACTTATTTCTTAAAAAATAGATCATGTTATTATTTTTTTACTTTTTGCTACTTATTTAAAAGCTGTCATTCATTATCAAAAGAAATTTTGTGTACATATATTATATATCTCAATCTTTTGAGAAATTAAAATTGTATGTAATTACTTTCCAAAAAAAAAAGTGCAATCATTCTATCTACAAAACAAGGCCTAAAAAACATTCACTCCCCCGAATCTTGCCTCAATTAGTTGGTATCAACAATTCAACCCAAAAAAAATACAAAAATTTCAAATCCACAAGCCACCCTCCCCCATATCTCCCTCCAATATCATGATCAAACTACCAACTAAAAAAAAAAAAATTCAAATCAAATAATAGCATCCACAATCAACAATCACAATCAAATGTTGTCACCATTTTCGTCATCATCATTGTCCCTGATCTCATCGAAGAAGGGGTCGTTGAGGAGATCCGAAGCGGAGGGCCTCGCCCTCGGCCGAGCAAGGCACTTCTCGATGAAGGCCTTCACCTCTGGGTCCTTGACCCTGTTCATGGCCTGAGGCCTCACACCAGAAGTCACCTTTTTATAAATCTTGGCAACGCTGTCACACTCGCTGTAAGGTAATTCCAGTGTCACCAACTCAAGCAAGCACATTCCGAACGAATATATATCAATTGACTCTGTATAATCCTCATCGTATAGCTCGGGCGCCATGAACTCTGGTGTCCCGAGCATTGAATGTGCCGAGTGGTTCTTCCCCACTATTGCAGCCAAACCCAAATCACCAATCTTCACCTGTTTCAAGATGACACAAACTACGCTTAAGTTGGTAGAAAATCAATACCACAATTTGGAGCTAAAATATAAAAATTTAGTCCATAAGTTAATATGAAATCAAATATGATATTTTCAATTTTCCAGAGGAAAAATGCCATTGAAACACTAGTCTTCCAAGAATTTCATATCCAAAACAAAACAAAATAAAATCACATAAAGTCGAGTTGCCATAACATTCAATCCGGAAATTTCTCTGTGAAAGACACAAAAAAGTAAAGAATTTATATTTTCTTTTGCTAACATTTTTCTTGAAGGAAAGAGCAAACATAAAGGTTATTACTTTCTAACCAACCAAACAGAATTAATCTAATTCCTATAAGTTGTTCCTTCAATTCCTATAAGTTGCCATAGGATTCAATCAAAAAAATTATGTCTAAGAACCAAATACAAAAGTGAAGAACTCATTTTCTTTTCTCCCATTTCCCTAGATTTCTCCCCAACCAAACAGAATCCAATTTAAAGAGAAGCAGACATAAAAGATATTAGCTTTCTAACCAACCACACATAATTAATGTAACTGAAGAAAGAAGTAAACATAAAAGCATATTATAACATTCTACTCTTTTCCTCAATTTTCTGAGCAACCAAACAGACAGGTAGAGAGAGAATAGAAAGATTGGTACCTGACCAATGTTGCCATTGATGAAAACATTGCTACAGTTGAGATCTCTGTGAATTACACAAGGCTCGTTCGTGTGCAAATAGTTCAAACCCTTAAGAATCTGCTTGGACCACTTCTTCAATGCCTTGGTCGAGACTTGTTTGTGCTTCTTCCGATACTCTCTCAGATTCCCAGAGGTGCACACTTCAGTGATGAAATTCAATGTGTTGCGATCATCGTCCCTCCACACATTGTACAGAGCAATGATGTTCTTGTTCTTCAGAGTCCTCAGCAACCGAACCTCCGAGTATAGCCGATCGATCATCGCCTTATCTTCACAGAAATTCCTCAATTTCACCTGATTCCAAGCCACCTCTATCCCTTCCTCTTGATCAAAGGCTCGGTACACCTTCTTCACTGCACCACAGCCTAGAAGCTCGCTGTAGCGGCCATACCTGCCCGATGGATCCACCTCAATGAATGGCTCCGAATCCCCATCCCCCATATCAGAGTTCACGCTCGGCATCTTCAAAACAGATTCACACAGTAATCAATCACAGAACAAATCAAAACAATGCAAAACTGATAATAATTCAAGAGCTCATAGTCTTTAACCCTAGAAATCACGAGAACTTATCGGAGCCCAAGCAAAAAACCTAATTATCTAAACGAAAAAGCTTTTTCCAGATATTATAAAGCCATTAAATAGTGAATAAAGATCATAATTTCAATCGAACACTATTTCTAACACTATTACTCAAGAAAAAACACAAATTTTCAAAACTATACAGAAAGTAGAAAACGAAAACACTATTAGAAAATCAGCATTCATGTATAAACACAATTTCTAACACTAAATACACAAAAAAATAAACTCGGATCAAATCAACAAAACTTCAAGCAACAATAATAACCAACCTATTCGCAAAAAAATGGACCATAAAACCCCCAAAATAATTCCAGAAATCATAATCAATCCCAAAAACTCATTTTCTCATTCTATACATGAGCGTGTATATACATATACATATACATATATATAAGAGTACTTCAATCAAGCTAAAAAGTGAGATATTTTGGAAATTTGGAAGCAAAAACGATGAAGAATTGAGAAAGATGAAAAGAATTACCATAAAAGGCGGTTCCTTTGGAATTTTCGCCTTCTCTGATACACGAAGCAGTGTGTGCATTCAAACTTTGCAGGGACGAAGCAGAGGACGAGGCATGGAAATTAGAGAGGGTTTGAGAGTTGGGTATATATAGGGATTGTTGGAGCTAGGGCTGGGTTTAACTGAGGGTTAGGTAAATTTAACTATGGTTAAGTGTAGGGTTTAGAGGTCGTTTCTGTTTAGTCAACTTGGTACTAATTTTAATCGGATTAGTCTGGCATTTAAAACGTTTTGTAAATGGATTAACATTTGTATGGTTTTCAAAAACACTTGGTAAAACGGTAATTAAGACTATTCACATACAGAGAATATTAAAATTCTGGATAAATATAGTATCTATTACGGTGTATATGACGTATTCACATTTAAAGTGTTTTAAGGGCATGGCTAGTCGCTTTCTCACGTGAGCCCACATCATCAGCATTGCAAATGTTTAATTTTTTTTTTTCCCCTAATTTTTAAAGTTTTATTTGGGGTTTTGTTAAGCAAAGAGTCAAATTTGAACTCAATTTAAATTAGTCTATTTCAATACTGTTTTAAATAGTATTAGGCTTCACTTGTTTAATGCTCCCTTTGTTTCATAAAAAGTATCACTTTTAGAGAATTGTGACTCAAACAAATTGAACTGTCATGGTTCCTGTAACATGACACTTTTTTTTGGGACGGAGGTAGTATAAATTTGTGTAAGGTTGTATATGTTTGTGAACTAAGGCTCATATATTTACAATTATTTTACAAAAATTGCATTAGTGGCCCATGTAACATTCAATCTAAACGTAGAAATTTACTAAATGAGATTTCTGAGCTTGAAAACGAATCTTTGATTCCTAATTCGAAATTTTAAATCATGACGAGTTCAAACAATTTAAAGATTTGGCTCGATCAGTTCATTTGTAGGCATGCAATTCTTTCTTGTGTTTTTCCTTCCACACACACAAAAGACATTGTCCCTCTTCTTTGAAATATATTTTTAAGTATTTTACAATATCTAATTTATTTTTATTTGATGATATAAACAGTGTTTCATACTCAAATTAAAAAGAAATGAAAGGTTATGTTTTATCTTTTCTTTGCCTTGGAATTAATTACATTATAGTATTGTCATGCTTCAGGATGGAAAATTTAATATAAGTTAAAATCATAAAATCTCTTTTATTTTTAAAATCGTGCATAAAATCTCCACTATAATTAAAATAAAATAAAATCCATGAATTAACAAAATTTATTAAGTTATTTCAAACCGTGATTGACCGTTAAATAAGTTATAAAATATAAAATTTAACCTTATTATTTAATATTAAATTAAAAACTACAAATTATTATTTTAAAATTATAAAAAAAATAAAAAAAACCAAAAGTTTTATCATACTTTAGATGTGCCGATCCAAATGGCAACTTTGTTTGTCTTGAAGTTGTTGTGGTATTATTATTTATTTATTTTTGTGTGGAAGTAGTTTTGTTATACGTATGCAATTATGTTTTGTTTTTAGAATGGAACATCCGTGATCCCAATCTCTGACGTATGCTTACAAACATCAAACATGTGACTATTTCTTGTGAATGTCACACTTTTTTTCTTTTTATTTGTATTTTTTTATATTTTATTTTAGTTAAGTGATTGTGGAGTTGGGGTTAGGAATGAAGTTAAATTGGGTTTAATCAAAACGCTTTGATGTTTTACATTTTTTTTTAGTCACTTATCGCGCCAAATAGCAATGCTCAATTAAAATAATTTATCATTTAACCTACATCCCACAAGTTAGTATGTAAATAAATGTGTCATGTTTTATATTATATGGTTTCAGAACAATATCACTAACTAATACATAAATAAATGTCTCTAGTTTTACATAAGGTTCAGGGTACATTACACTGATCTCTCTTGAGGTTTCGTCAACATACACAGACCTCCCCTCTTAAATCCGTCTTGGGTGAAATTACAATTTTATCCTCACTATATTTATTTTATTTTATTGCAGAATGATGAATTTTGTTTGCCTTGTCGGATCCATCGCTGTTGCCGCCAAAGGTCTCTTCGACGGCAAATTCGTCGGGATCTGTAAACAGAAAGAATGTGCGATCAGGTGGTAATATTTGAATAGCAAGATTGGTGGCGGTTGTGGTGGTTTGCTGGTGGAATTGATGGAGAAGTTTCTGTAACTACCCATCATCACTGCTCTCTCACCTTAGCATTAAGTTTCTCTCTCTATCTTTATAATTTTGCTTCTGGGTTGTCTACTATTGCGAAACACGGAAGCTAAATTGGAGTGTTAAAACAACAAGTAACTGTGTGTTTTCCTGTGTGAAGAAGTCAGGGTGGAACCAAAGAAAACCCGTATAGAGATATAAGATATTAGATTTAGAGAGAGAAAAAAAGATAAGAGAGAAATAAATGGGTCTATGTTGCAATATTGGTTGGACTCATTGTCTGATTTGGAGAATTGATCAGAGTAATTCCTTTTAACCTTTGCTCTTCCTCTCTCAAAATTTTGTTCCAATACATGATTTTTCCTTTGTCGATCTTGTATGGTCTTATAAGATTCTGTTATGAACATTAACTTTCAAGCAGAGGAGGTGACTAAACTGGTGTCGCATTTTGATAAATAATGGAAGTTTAGTTATGAGAGAGAGGTTTGTATGATCACTTTTTCTGGTGGAGCATGCAGCTAGTTTTTTTGCAGAGCTGTTGAGTTGTAGTATTTAAGTGAAGATGTCCTTTTTAGTCATCATGATCCCTATCATGCATCTTTCGAATAGAGTTTAGTTATAGAGTGCCAAACAGGGTGAAGGCAATGGTAATGGTAAAAATAATACGCAGTAATATCATTGGAGGGTATTTTGGTAAATTTATTTGAGTAAATAAGGTCAAATATGTCTTCACAACAAATAAAAGGGTAATTTAGAAACTTTATAGGATAAAATTTGCTTACATCAGGAATGTAACTATTTAACGAAAGGGAACAATGTGTTACAAAGAAACAAACTTCAAGGGAGGTCCGTGTGATTTGGTAAATAAGAGGAGAGGTGAATGTATATTGACAAAATTACAAAGAAAGCCAGTGTAATTTTTTATTTTTTACTTACATGTCAAATGGTCCAAAATTATATACCTTCTCTCCATATTAGTTATCAATGTTTTCATTTTAGGTGTACCAAATTAATTCTCAATTTTGAAAAGTCAAATAAATTAAATACAATATTTCTATAATTACCCTTTTAATTATTCAAGAATCTTTTAACTTAAGTTTTATGTATTTAAAATTTAAAAGATAGTAATTTGAAAAAAAAATAATAATAATGCATTAATTGCAGATAGGTCAAAGATTGACAATTAAAATAAGACTGTGTTAAAAGTATGGAAAGTCAGGTGAGGGAAACTCTCATTTCCATTGTTGGATGATCCAATGGGTCTCACATGGGCCCACACCAGCTGATTATATTAATTCAAGATATTCTGCGAAGAAACCGAGCTTCAAATGAGCCAATCTTTTTATCAACCGGTTCAATTTGTTCAGGTCTAAGATTTGATTCGGACTCCTTCTTTAAGGTGTCAAGTTTGAATTCAGTTTCTAAGCTAATTAAGTGAGCCAATTACAAACCGTATTCACAAAAAATAGTGTCAATATGATTTTATGGTCTAAGATTTGATTCGAACTCCTTCGTTCTTGTGATTATATCATCGGTAGTCATGTGAAAAAACTAATTGGAGGATTTCAAATTATACTGTATTATATAAATGAGCATAATTAGTAAAATATGGTGATAAAATACTTGTTTACCATAATTTAATTTTTTTATTTTTATTTTTTTAACAAATCAGCAAAAACAAAAATGACCACACATATACTAATTTTCTTCTTTTATACTAGAAATAATAACACATCCCATGGGTCTCACGTGGCCCACACCATTCAATTACATTCATTCACGATATTCTCCAGAGAAATAAAACTTCAAATGAGCCGATTAGAACGGTTGCCTAGGTCTTCCAAATTAGAAGGATCATAAATTCAATAACATAATATAATATAATAGTATATATCTGAAATATTACTATTATTTATAATCATAAGTTTGTAATTAGCCTTTTAATCAACTAAAAAACATTCATTTCATGCCATAATATCACAATTTACAGATTACAGGAAGTTTCAATAATTTGACTACGTTGATTACACGTACTAATAAACATAGTCAAATTATCGATTATTATAATTTAGGTATATAATATATAGGAAAATGATATGGGGCCTAAGGATAACTCTAAAAAAATGATTGAATCTAACGTGGCTAGTCACGTCAGATTCTCTTAAACGTGCTTAGCTCACTTCCAAAAATAAATTGAAAAAAAAAAAAAATTATTTGAGAAGAATAAGAGGAAGATAATGGAGCCATGAACATTGAAGATGACCAGAAAAAGGTGGGTATATACAAATAAATAAATATATATATATACACACACACAATTACATATATGTTGAGAATAGATCATAAATATTCAAATATTTTTTTCTACAAATTTTTCAATAGATTTAGGTATTACTCAATGATTTGATTTTAAGAATTACATGATCATCTTATATTCGAATTACGCAAAAAAATTAAGGAGTATTTACAACATCACTCTTTGATTCAAGATTGGTTCTCTCTCTCTTTATCTATCTAGGGTTTTGAATAAGTTTTGTTCTCGGTACAGTGATTTAATTTTGTTGTGGATATATTTATTCCGTGTAAATTATAAAATATACCAATTATGAAAAAAAATAAAAAAATAAATAAAAAATTTTAAAATATACTACATAACAAGATAAAGATAAGTCTGATTCCTAAAACAAGGATAAAGATAAGGTTTGTCTAATTTTGGAGACTTTTGAGTTTTCCGGTATTCTTTTTCACGGTATACAATCACTTTCCCACCTTCCCTTTTTTGTTTTATTTTTTCTAATTTTTTTATTTCTTTTACCCGCATGTGATGGGCTCTTTTAATCCCTCACGCAAAAAGAGTGAGAATCTGACGTGGCCAAGCCAAGTCAACTTCAGTG